ATGTAATTGTAGACCTATATCTAAAACTCGATCGTTTATACCGATTATATTAACACACGAGGAACTTGTTTTTAGCAAGCCTCGGGTCAACATGACCCGGCTTGGGCGTCTGATGGTTAAATCAAATCCCTTTCTTTCCGCTGCCCGCGTCTATCGATCAGAACCGTTCGGTCCTTGAGAACGAACTGCTTTTCGCGTGGATGTAAGCGTATCTCATCAGGTCAACCGCATAATGCATAAGAAACTGCATAACTGAATTTAACAGTGTCGGACGGAAGATAAGCGTTTTTGAATAATTCATTCCCCTCATCAAAGTATCAATCAGTGTGAAATGAACGAGTTCATCGTACTATCTGCAGGGTTGCCGCAGTCAGGGAATACCGAGTAATGTCAGGGAATTTTAAAAAGTTAAGGAAAATAACGAAAATGTCAGGGGAAAATTCTCAAGTCATCTTTATTTCCTTTCTAAAATGGGTTTGACGTTTCGAACAACAAATTTTGCCTGAAAACTAAATTTCAAAACACGTCTTTTTAAGCATCTAGCATATCCTCAACTCTGCCTTGCTAAGGAAGAACGCCGTATGAACCTTCAGGCATTGCCAAATTTCCTCCGACAAATCACGAGTTTTCAGGAAAATTTGTGAATATTTTTTCTCAAATTTTTAAGAGGATTTTGTTTGTAATTCTATCTAAAAAGTCTGACAATTTCATAGGGATATATGCATAATTTTCTTCAAAAATACATGTTTTATTTGGGGAAATTCGGCAACTCTCGAATGTTCATACGGCGTTCTTCCTTAGCACGGCGGAACTGTCCATCAATTCTACCAAAATGTGGCAGAGAAATCAGAGAAATGGCAGAGAATTTCACTTCATAAATTTTATGGCAACCCTGCTTCCGGCAAAACCGCTCAGAAGTTGGAATGAAGCAATCCCACATTTTGACTACGAATTGCGGCACGACTGTTCACTAAATCGCTCACATTTATTAATATCCAGTTTTATTATCTTGAAAAGTCTTCGCCGTAACCCGTGTTTAATGTTGTCGTGTTATGCGGGGAATATCGTTTTTTCACTCCTCGGAGGGTAATAAAATATCAGATTCGCAAAATTTAGCTGGAAGGCCCGGGTCATGTCAGAGCCTCGGCGGGGTATTAGCTAATCGCTCCTTATTCGGAGTATTCCAGTGGAGAACGAAAGTGGTATTCCACTCGAGAGTTCGGAATTCGAAGAGAGTGAATTATTTCCGCCTATCAATTTTTTAAAGCAAGCGATGATGTCATCGTAATTAAATCAGAGAAGAAAAGAACTCTTTCTCCGTGTTACGGCGCACAGTGGATCGAGTCAATTCGAGAGGTCGGACATGAAATTGTTGACTATAATTTCAAATTTTGATGTGTATTTCGTCACATTTTAAATAATAGGGGGTGGTTCTAGTCTAGAATTAAACGAGGAAACCAATGAAACCATTTTTAGAGCTTCAACGTTTTGTATGAACGGAGTTGTAAGCGTTTAAAGTATCCAAATTCGTCCGACCTCTTTCATTGATTCGATTCATTTTGCGGCGGTCGGGAGAGAAAACCATCACCATCAAAGACAATATTTTAAAGACCTCGCCCCGTTATCTTCGCCATTGTGTATAAAAGCTACTTTGGACAGAAATTGTAGTTCCAATTTGCAAAACGTAGTCCAAAGTGTTGACTCCGATCGACACCCATGGTAACAGAGAATTGAGCGCCTTCTCTCTTCTCACCCGAGTTGCGTTGAGGGAAAGAAAAGGAAGAGGAAGAGAAGAAAATGATGAAAAAGAAGGAGAGGGAGGGAGAGAAGGATATTCGAATTAATGGATGATACCGAGGAAAAAAGATTTTAGTAGTTTATTTTGATAGTTCAATTACACTGAAGAAAATGGTATGCTGTTTTGGCACCTAGGATATCAAAAATGTGTCTGGTGATCCTAAGATTCTGCCTTGATTGTCCACGCAATTGAATGTGCATTCACAGATTGTAAAGTTAAATGCGGGGGCAGTAAAGGCAGCATCTTGGGATCACCAGACACATTTTTGACAATCTAGATGCTAAAACAGCATATCATTTTTGTCAGTGTAGTCGTGAGCGGGCATCATTTGCAACGTCCCAGACGTATGCTGCTGTGCTAGGGAAAAATGCCGTATGAACAATCAAGAGTTGCCACATTTCCTCTCATAATCGTTTATTTTTATGGGAAAAATATAAATTTTTCTCCTTAATATTTTCAGGAACTGTAGGAAAAATTGCGAACAAAATTATATGAAAAATTGAAAGAAAAATACCGATAAGTTTACTAGGAAATTCGTGTTGTATCGAAGGAAATTTGGCAACGCCTGAAAGTTCATACGGCGTATTTCCTTAGCACGGCATTATGTACCTACGCCTTTTTTTATTTTAGCCAAAATCATGTCAAGGAAAAGCAATTTTCCACCTTATTTCGTTTGCCGATATCAATAACCGCGAACAACCCGCAAAGAACCAATCAGCTAAAATTATTGACAAATCGCTCGCTGTATCGTGGAAATGTATCGCCTCGAACAAAATCTTTCAGTTTGTAAACAAATTGTGTTTGGACAAGCGAGTGGATTAAAGATAGTCTTGGCGACTTGGCGGGACAAAACATGCTGAAAGCGCGAAGTCGCAAAGTGTGTCATGATTGCCGAGGCTGCCATTTTGCGTTCAGTTATTTTCGGTCCTTTTCCCAATCTGCCGTGCTAAGGCTAAGGAAGAACGCCGTATGAGCCTTCAGGCGTTGCCAAATTTCCTTCCATAAAACACGAATTTTCTGGTAAACTTATGAATATTTTCCCTCCAATTTTTCAGATAATTTTGTTGGCAATTTCACCAAAATGTTTGGTGGAATTGATTATTACTCCTAGCTTATACAGGTCCAATTCAGTCCGAGTTCAAATAACATGTACCCAGTAGAAAGTCACTCTCAGTTCAGTTAGCTCCGTTACTGTAGTTTCTCTCACTTCTGTCGTGATGCGTTCGGTGAGATATAAGGGCAAGAGGTAAAAGAGGTAATGGAAAGGCTAAAATTTTGGATGATGATGTTCAGGGTTATTCGAAAGTCACGCATCACTGGCCATAACTTTAGTTCTAATTATGTTTTCGATTTGCGGTTTCTGACGTTTTTCCCCATATCGAGGGGGAAACTTTTTAAGGAACTTTCCAGTTGTTGATCCTTTCGGGAGGAGGGGGGCGGGGGCGCTACTAAAAAATTTCAAATGGCCATCCCCCTTATGGCCAGTGGTGCGTGACTTTTGAAAAACCCTCTATATTAAAAGGCACCCTCTTGACGTCACCACACCACCCTATCGATCGAATTCTGAACATAGTTTGATAATACTGCCGTATGCTAAAGAAGAACGCCGTATGAACATTTGAGAGTCGCCAAATTTCCCCGAATATGACATGTATTTTTGAAGAAAGTTATGCATATTTCTCCTCGAGATTTTCAGACTTTTTAGATAAAATCTCGAAAAAAACCCTCCTAAAAATTGGATAAAAAATATTCACAAATTTTCCTGAAAACGCGTGGTTCGTCGAAGGAAATTTGGCAACGCCTGAAGGCTCATACAACGTTCTTCCTTAGCACGGAAGAATACGTGGTACCGACGAGTACAAAAAACCGACCAGACGCAACAACTCCTCAACCAGAAACGATTAATCCACATTAAAAAACTTGAACAAGCATGTTTCCATGTAGCACTGCAATGAGGAGATCGCGGGGTTACAGCGACGCAAGTGAGTATCCTAATTTCCAAGTGAGCCCTGTGTTCCGTAGAAGTGTATGCTTTCCGGGGTCCATGTGGAAACAGAGATACGCCTTTATGTCAGAGGAGCTCTCGACGCCCTCTCAGTGTAAATTGATCACTTTTGTTGAATGACTTCCATTTTTTTCTGTGTATCGAGGTGACGTTGATGAGGCACTCAAGGGTTGCCCAACATGCCCGTCTGTCAAATCGTATTTCCCGGAAAACGACTGTTCTGAACTTCTTTAGTTGATATATCCTTTTTCCCCACCGGAATTTCGTCCATGCCATGAGAGATGCTCGAGGCTACATGAATTACGCACGATTTTGGTATCTTTCGCATGACGCAGAACCGCAATAAGCTGTTCCTCATATCAGTCATCGGTGTTCGGTGATAAAGACTACACTGGAGTTGGATGTATTTCTATCAAATGGAACTATGTGCATTATGACGTGAGCCCTGTCAAACGTGTATTCTTATGGGTCTCAGGGCTCATTTCTTAATGCACATAGTTGCGTTTGATATATAGAAAAACGTCCACTTATGCTCGTGCGTCAGTGTCAAAGAAAAACTTCACCGCAGGAACATTTCAAATTCAGCAAATTATTCACGGGGGGCAAAATTTTCTGAAATTCTACAGTTCACCGCGTTTTGGAGGCTGCTCTCCTGGACTCCCACTGTCAGCCAAAATCTCAAAATTCCTTCAAATTTTACCAAAAATTCCCGAGTTGTCAAAATTCGTATTGAAATCTCTTAAATTTTTAGAAAAATGAAAAATTCACCCCCTCTCTTTTTTCACCCCCCAAAAGAAAATTTATCCTCGTATTGAAAAATTCGCCATTTTTTATACTAATCAAAATGTTGCCGTCGAAAGCTCAGTCGAAAGCCTGGCGCCAGGTTTTTCTTGAAATATTATTTTTGCAAAAGTGATATTTTTGGGGAGGGCGAGGGAGCTATTGCCCCTCCCTTTCTCCTCCTCGCCAAAACATGTGTTACGCTTTTTTATTTTACTTATCATATTCCATAGTTTTTTCTTTACCTATTTTGTGAGTTGCTGAACTATTGTTTCCCCTCCTTCTTTCCCCGTTGCCCGCAGAAAATTGCGCTCGCTCGAAAATGCAGTGAGATCGGCGTCTCTGAATTCAAATCATGATATTATATTCTCGTAATCTCGCAGTTGTTTTATTAAATTTTCTGTCCTCACTTTTCAGGGATGGAGTGTCCCGAATTCTTCAAAGCGGACGACCTCGCGGACAAAGTGTCTGACATCATCAACCACCAATGCCCGGTCCCCATTTTCGGAGATGACGCCAAAGCCTTCTGCTGCTACGGCACCAACGGAAGGCCCTACTGTTGTGACTTCCCCCACTTCGCCCTTTTCGTGTAAGTACACCTCTCTCACCATTCACATTACAATTTCCAACAGTTGGCAACAACGGAGTGTCTACAAGTCCGGAAAGTCCGGAGTACTGAATTTTTAAGGGCGGTCCGGAAGTACCGCTAAAGTCCGAAAATTCCGCAAGAAGGTCCGGATTTTTTTTCATTTTTTGTCATTTTGATCGCAATTTGAGCGAGAAATGCAATTGTTTGAAATTTTTCGAATGTCGTCAATTGGACTGCATTTTGAAATTTGGAACTATAAATTCTGACTCTCCTGAAAAAACACTTGTGCCATAGGGAAACCAATAGCACATACGCTGTTTTTAAACCGGACTAGAATTTGTAGCTCCTAATTGCAAAATGTAGTCCAATTGGTGGTACTGATAAAGTACTGAATTTTTCTGTTGAAAAGGTACTGAATTCCTTGGGTATGTGCTGAAAAAGTACTGTAAAAGCACTGATTTTTGGGCAGCCTGTTTTAGTAGAACCCTGAACAAATGAGAATGGTCCAGTTGCGCTGGTTACATAATCGTATTTTGATGCTTTATTCTTGTAGATAAGCTACAAATAATAAGTTCCCTCCGAACAGCAACTTACTACGTTCAATATTAACCTAGATGTCGCGCTTTGACGGTTTATGACGTCGCGTCGTCCACCGCGGTAGCGACATCCTTGGTTTCTTCCACCTTGCTTTCATCCAAGTTTCACGCCAAGTAACCTGTGAAAATGTGCGTCTCCCTGACAAAGGAAAGCAAGGTGGAAGAAACCAAGGGTGTCATTACCGCGTTGGATGACGTCATCACACTAATTTTAATGACGTCGGAAAAAAATTACTGTAAACTCACTACTTTCTTGCCAGCCAGTTTCAGTAGGAACCCTGTACGATCACATAAGTGGAATCTTATACTTTGGCGCGCGTATACATCCACACTTCTTCCTTCACGTGGGTTTGAACCGCTGAAATTCAGTCCTTGCGTGTTACTTGTATACCAGTGGCAATTGCCGTGGCATTAATGATCGATTATCGATTTTTCCCCAATTGAAGCTATGGTAAAGAATCGATCAATAAGGCGTTCGTTGTGAACACCCTGTTTATCGATCCTTTTCCATGGGTTTCAATGGCAGATCAATCGATATATCACAAAGCACGCCGCGCCACTGCTGTACGCACGAAGAGTCAGGCGCCCACAGTGAGTTCTAGTATGAGCTTGATTGCCTTGGAACCGTGAATTGCAGGCGGTGAAATGGTTCATCATTTGCAATAATTCATGAATGCAGTAGGCGAGAAAAGTCTCAGCAGTGTTAGCAAATCTAGCAGGTCATTTGCTGCACACACGCTAGTCTACGCCGGTGATTTAATCGGTGAAGCCAGTAGCTAGGCGTGAATGATCGATTACCGATACTTCTCCGGTTGAAACTTTGGTAATGAATCGATTTTTCAGGTGTTCGTTGCGAACACCCTGTTTATCCATCTTTTTCCATTGGTTTGAATGGCAGCGGGCCGATTATTGAAATTGATAGACAAAGCTATAGACAAAGAAGACATTAGAAGTATAGAGCGATCCTATCGGTTGAAATGGGTTGTTCTTATAGACTAAGGGAGAAAATGATGGACTAACTATCGGGTCTCTCGTGGGTTGCCGTTAGTTAGTCTATTGTACGTCCTTTGTCCATTGCAACCAACCGCTTCCACCAATAGGATCTCTCCGTATCCTTTTTTCCCTCTTTGTCTATTGCTTTGTCTATCAATTTCAATAATCAGCCCGCAGATCAATCGATTCATCGCGAAGCACGCCACGCCTGAGTGAAAAAACCTTTGTAATCATTTCACGAGAGAACAAAGCATCAGATAAAAATAATTACATTGCAGGTTGAGAAGCAGGATGCAATAAACATGTTTCGTAGAAAGCTCCTTTATTTGATACGGAGAAAAGGACCTTCACCCACCGTGGCAAAATCTCCTGGAAGAGCAAATTGGGTTGGGTTAAGTCGAAAAATCGAATTTTGAAGTGTCTGCGATAAATTCTCTGATGGCGCGGCGTCTCAAGGGAAAAGTCGCGTTTGCGATTTATCAAACTTATTCAACTTATCTTACTCTACTTATTCTGTAATATGTAGTCACTAGAGGAACACAAAACGCTTAAGGGGAGGAGGGGGGTTAACCTTGAAGCGATCAGTAAAAGTTATTCAGTAAGTTATATACCTCTAAGTTCAAAGTTAAGTACTTAGTTAGTTAGTACAAGTTAGTTAACTTGTAATCACAAGTTGTAAAAAAATTGATCTGAATCATCCCAGATTAGAAGGGTTTGAACGTATTCGGCGCAGATTATATTGTATATTTAGTTTCCGTACATGGTAGCGAATATCTACTTAATATGCTGGCAAGATTGGCAAGAAGCCATGCTTGTACGTTGAATACTTAACAACTAGGTATAGGAGGAAAAAAAACACCAATCCAAAGACCGATTTCAATTTTTCTCTCAATGATATCTTACAGCTGGTATAAATCTTATCCAAAAGCGTGAAAAAGATTTTGATAGAAGAATAAACAATATTTTTCAATTTTTTCTTCTCTCAATCTTTAAAGCATTACCTACTCGTTTCTTTAAAATTTGATTTTGTGCCCCCGAAATATCGCCTTTTTTATTAATATTCTTTTAGCAGTCTAGTTATTTTAAGCAAGGAAGCAGATGTTGGGAACAAATTTTGTTCACTTATAATTTGAGATAAAATAGGTATCTAAGAAAGTAATCTGCATTATGGAAAACAGTGTGAATTACAAGAAAAAAATTCGCTTGACTATTGCGACCAAAGTTTAGCGACAAGCAGAAAACTGAAAAGTCTTAACACCTGTCGTCGAAAAGAAGGATCTCGATTTTTTTCTATTTCTGGTGAATGCTTATACCGTTAGACTCGCGACTCCCGCCCTCATTCTGCCGTGCTAAGGGAAAACGCAGTATGAACATTCGAGAGTTGCCAAATTTCCTTCACTAAAATGTTTATTTTTAAGGAAAGATATGAATATTTTTCCTTGAAATTGTCAGAGATTTCAGATGAAATTGCGAACAAATTTATCTGAAAAATTGGAAGAAAAAAAATCATAAGTTTACCGGGAAAACCGTATGTTTTCTCAAAGGAAATCAGGCAACGCCGGAAGGTTCATAGGGCGTTTTTCCTTAGCACGGCAGTAATGCACGTGATGCATCATTGCTAATGAGTCTACTGTACGTAATTTCCTGATGTTTCTCGCTAGTCTAGTGTCAGGATATTCCAGTTGCAACGTTCTGTGCAGTAATGCACCATAAACGGATTTGCGGGTGCTTCCACACCACACGACGCTGAATCATCGAGTCAACATGACTTATTGTTAGGAACAGTTGAGCTTAGCCAAAGTTGTCAAATGGATTGCATTTCTCAATTAAGAACTACTACCTCTGGGCACCTCTGGCTTATTTCATAGAAAACGTATGTAGCATTAGTTTCCCTTTGAAGATAACTCAGGGTGTCTACAAATCCGGAATTTTCGGAAAGTACGGAAATAGTACTAATTTTTCAAGGGCGGTTCGGAAGCACTGAAAAAGGGCGGTTCGGAAGCACTGAAAAAGTGCGGGAATCTCTCAAGAAGGTCCGAATTTTTACATTTTCTGTCATTTTAGTCGCAATTTGCGCTAGAAATTCGAATTTCTGTAATTGGAGGTACCGAAAAAGTCCTGAATATTTAATGTTAAGGAGGCACTGAATTTCTTGGGAATGTACTGGAAAAGTACTGTAAAAGTACTGATTTTTGGCCAGCCTGTTTTAGTAGACACCCTGTAACTTAACGCTGGTGAGCTGGAAATTGTAGTTCCTAATTGCGAAATGTAGCCCAAATGACTTTCCTCGCCGCCTAAAAACTGATTTAAGTGACTATACAAATTCGATTTTCTGTATCAGTACCCCAGAGCCGAAAGTAACCTATCTCCATTTTTGCCTTTTGTAGTGTAGTGGTTGTAGTGCTTGCTTCATGATCCGGAGGTCCTGGGTTCGATTCCCAGCCAGTTGGCCTGAGTTTAATGGTCTGAAACAACGGTTATCTGAAGTTGACTTAATTAGGGACGGAGGGGGGATTTAGGGACGGTAAAAGAGCAAGACTATCTCTCTTATGATATTTGAAGTGAAAAAAAAGACGTAGCCATAAAAAAATCGAATAAAATCTGAAACTTTCGCACCGGAACCAGTGTGTGTGTGAAAGCTCATTCATACTCGCAATTATCATCGCCCGTCACCAAACCAAAAACCTCAAGATTTCTAACTCAAACAGTGCGCTACGCAATGTGTAGCCATGCGTGAAAATCGCCGCAGTGTTTTTTTCTGTTTCTTTTTTTAATTGGCACGTCAGTACACTGCACCCATATCTCTCCAAGCCTAAAAAACAGGATTGCTTGGTCAATTCTAAAACGTTCTCACGTTTGTTGTCACATATAGTTGAACGGGTTATTTGAAGAAGCGCGCAGCCCCAAATTTTTCAGAAATTGAGTTTTCGACGAGATACTATATTCTTTGAAAGTTAGCGCACCTACAGAGTTGCCACAGTCAGAGAAAACCGGGAAATATCAGGTAATTTTTAAAAGTCAGGGAAAACCGAGGAATGTCAGGGAAAATGACGAAAATGTCAGGGAAAATTTGTTAAATCACCTTCATTTGCTTTCTAGAATATAGGTTTGAGATTTCGAACAACAAATTTTGCTTGAAAACTATTTTCAATTATGCCCTCTTAACCATTCGTCACATCTTTATTTGTCAGGGAATTTCATCAAAATCATGTTGTCTAGTTTTTTAAAAACCGGGGAAAACCGGAATTCAACAGGGAATGAAAATTCACCGGGAAAATCAGGGGTAAATCAGGGAAGCTGTTCCAGAAACCGGGAATCTCTTCCCCAACCACTCAGGGATCATTTCATTTCCAAATTTGGCGGTCTAATTTGAAGTGCGCCAAAGAAATGACTGTAAGATTAATGAAACTCGGTATGCATATCTGAAACTCTGGAAAATTATATTCTTTTCCCAAAGAAAATTCCGGGAAAGTGGGAGAAAACTTCGGTTTCTCATCAGGGAATGAGCTCCTGAAAATCAGTTAAAATCAGAGAAAAATCAGGGAATGAGCTTTGTCAAGAAAACTAGACACCATAATCAAAATGTGCCTGGGAAATGTCAGGTAATTTCATTTTCTAAATTCTGTGGCAACCCTGATCTTACTCGACTGAATCTTAATCAATTTCACCGAATTTGCTCTTTCGATGTCTTGTTTTTAACATTTAAATGTCCGCTTCAGTGGGAAAAGGGCGTAATTTCTTAACTACGGCACCTTTTTCAGTAACAGGTGCCTTCTCATGAAAAAGCCATGAGTACCCAAAGAGACGAACTAAGATTTTTAATATTTTCATGGAACACTCATGCGACTTGACCGTCGGAATACTGCGACTGCGAAGGGCAGCACATGAGTGGATACGTGGAAAAGAGGCGTACATACCAAAATTTCCAAGAAATTTTATTTCTTACCCAATATCTCCGACCCTTTTTGTGTGATCATGATCTCACTTCAGATGGTATGTAGAACATAGGTTGATTTTTTCGCACAGGAAATAAAGAACTTTCGGAGAAATCAAGTTTTCTAATGTCTTTTCGACGGTAGATTTTTGGTGATCAGCCCCTTCATCCTTCTAACGGAATACATTTTGCAATCAAGAACTACAATTTTCAGCTCATTTTACAGGGTGTCCAGCATCAGGATTTTCTCGATTTTCCCGATTCTAACAGGATTTGAGGTCAATCAGGATTTAATCCCGATTTCATCAGAATTTGAGGAAAAATCGGTCGTAAAATCAGGATCTGAGAAAAGTCGACCTTCTGATCGGATTTTTTTATTGAGCTATTTTTGTGAAGTAAATTTTCTCCGCCAAAAATCAGGATTTGTAAAAAAGATGAAATCAGGATTTAGCCGTCAACAATCAGGATTTCATCAAAACTTCCCTATATGATAAAAAACTAGACACCCTATAGGAAAAAAGTATGTAAAATTTGTTTCCATATACAGATAAGTGCTTTTACAAGTGAGGCGGAAATTATAGTTGCTAATCGCGAAATGAAGTCCAAATTACGCGTTCAATCGCTTCGTGTTTAATTAATGTCTCCTGATTTCTGATTCACAGGGCTATCCTCCTGATCGGTCTCCTGATCCTGTCATCGATCGTCAGCTGCATCTGCTGTCTCTGCTGTCCGTGTTGTTTTTGTTACAAACGAAGGCAAGGAGGTGGAAGTAAGTGTCTTTTTCTTTTCCTTTTCGCCTCGTTAGTTTTTTTAATTCGTTTAATTTTTGCAGTATCCTGATGGAGTATCATCATTCTTGTTTCACTCGTGATTTTATATTATCCAGTCCCCTTCCCTCCTCCTCCTAAGCGAAGTAGTAGCTTTTTATTCCGGTCTTCGAAAAAGTAGAGAGATTATTTTCAAGGAGTTTGCTTTGTCCAAAGTGTCCCAAGCAGCTTTTCCCATTGGTTCCGGAGAGAACGGCCGGTGTCGATTTTTGCAAGCTGAGGCTGCTAATTGGACGAATTTGTATCAAACGAAACTATGTGCATTATGGCGTGAGCCCTGTTATACGTGTATTCTTATAGTTCTCAGGGCTCATGTCTCAATGCTCATATTTCCGTTTGATAGAAATACGTCCATTGATTCTGCAGTCTGCATGTTAATCGGAATTTGAAACACATGTAAAGCAATCGAATTTATTGAAGCCTGCCTCACCATCGATTATTTACAATACTTCAAATAGAGCGAAACTAGTTTTTACAGCTTGCAAAATTAATAACTGCAAGAATTTAATAAATGGTTTCTCTAAGAATTGCCTCTCTTCCTCACTGAGGAGAAATCATATAGAAAATCATAGACCACATCGCCATCGGCGTCTTTGACCAAGTTGACCCCACAGCTAGTGCGAATCACTCTGAAACAACAATAACGTTTCTGATAAACATGTGAGTTATTTCTCACAAAAACAACGTATGAGCATTGCAACGCTGTTCAAATCGTGCAACACTGTGCTTCATATGCAGCTGAACAGGATTTTGGTATCATTAGAATTTTCACCTCGAAAATCTACCTTCATATCACCCAATTTTCCATAGAGAGTATCGGTATTTGGACTAATATGTTTCACTATCAAATGGACCGCATTTTGCAATTCGGAACTAAAATTTCTGCCTCAGTTTAGAAACAACGTATGTACTATAAGTATTTCTATGCGCATACATGTTTTTAAAGATGAGGCAGACATTGTAAATCCTAATTGAAAAATTAAGTCCAAATATCAGTGCCGTGGCGTTCTTTGCGATGTATCGATTAATCTGTCATTTTAACCTACACTGGGAAAAAAAACACATTGTATCTAGAATTGACAAGAAAAAGTACTCTTGATTCAATCAGAATCTAGCTTAAATGAAGAACCAAGCCTCTTAATTTAAGCGGATTTCGTTTTGATTCAAGCAAAAATCCGATTGAATCAAGAGTATTTTTTCTTGTCAACTCTAGATCCAATGTGTTTTTTTTTTTTTCCAGTGTATAGAAAAGGATCTATAAACAGGGTGTTCGCGACGAACACCTTAACAATCGATTCTTTACCATGGCTTCAAATGGGGGAATATCGATTTATCGATCATTCACGCCTCGGCACTGACGTTCGATGTTGCACGATACGATTGCGAAACTCTCACGTTGTTTCTGCAATGAATGTCTCATTTGCTTCGGAGGAAATGGGGTGAGCAGGCAACCTCGACCAACGAAAAACGCGATAACGCCTGAGGAGGAACTGTAACTGATAAGATAACAGAATGGGAAAAGTTGTTTGGGCCGATGCGATGGATAGTTTGCAAACCTTACTATTAGTTCCAACTTTTAATTCCCGATCCGTGAGTCATTCTTCCCCCATTGACCCCTACTTCACTTTCTTCATCCCGCCCCCTTCCTTTGCACGAGTAGATTGCCTTTTAAAATGTGCGCTCTTTCCATCTATTGTGACCCATGTCCTCCTCATGCCCATGCAATCACTCATGCTGTAAGCTGCAACTTTACGATCTGGGCCCCAATGCGGATAGGCTGTGGGCTTTGCTTCGAGTGGAATACGATCGCCGTAGTTGGGGGAATCTAATCCCTTCATCTAAGTTCGATTAATTCCTTTCCCTCCCAGCAGGCTGATTTTATAGACAAAGCTATAGACCAAGAAAACAAAGGGATACTGGAGCGAGCCTAATGGTGGATGCAGGTGGTTGCAATAGATTAACTATGGGCAACTTAGAAGAGGCCCCATAGTGAATCCGTCTTTTTATCTTTAGTCTATACCAATACCAACCACCCGTTTCAACTAATAGGATAGCTTTTTTATCCTTTTGTCTTCTTTGCATATCGCTTTGTCTATCAATTTCAAGCGACAGCCCTCAGAGACAATTCTTGGAAATTGGCAAACCGTTTTTCCTCACCTAAGAAGGAATTCTCAACACTTAAAAAGCTCCATCAAACGTTGCTACGATTTGGCAACTATTCTGGTCATTTGCCGGGAATCCAGCGGCCTGAAAAAAAAAAATTCATCATGAAAATAAGACTAAAATTCAGAGGAAGTATATACTTTAACAAGTCTTAAAGTAAATGCATTTAGGTTCTTTTCCCATGAATGACTCCATGTATAATCCTTGCAATCCCTAACGTTGCTCACCAAATTGCCATTCGTAAAGGTGCATATATTTTGGGAGAAGTGTATATGTAAATACAACATTGAGTTTTGGGATAAATGAATCAATAAGAAGTTGCATTTTACCCCCAAAATCCTTTTTTTGCATTGAGCTGAATTTTTAATTTGTTCGAAGTCGGGTCGTTTTCGCACCGAGTAATTTACTATAATCCTCCTATCGAATCTAGACGAAGGATCCTGTTTCGATAATATCGATTGTTCTATATCTATCTAAATGGATAAAAACTCAGTATTGCCAACCTCCAAGACTTGCCAATTTTCCTTTACTTATTACCTTTCTCGGATGATTTGAGAGAGCAAGAACGCTATGAGAAAAGTTCTAGCAGTTCTCATGCAAAAACTGCTATTACATCATCGGAATTTGCGTCTAAAGAGGTTCAAAGTCATGGTTCGTGCCGACACTTGAAAATACTCAATTATTGTACTGGATTGCTTTTCCAACTTTTTTCTGTACTTGAAATACTTGACTTCTGAAGAATTGACGAAATGCTCTCGAGTATTCTTGAAATTTCTGTAGAAGATATACCACATTTCTGGAAAATGCGTAGAAATCAACTAAGCCTGGGAAGCATTGGCGTGGTGTTTTTTGCGATATATCGATTGATCTGCCATGTAAATCTGTGGAAAAAGATCTTTCGCAGCGAACACTTTAAAAATCGATTATTTGCCATGCTTCCAATGGGGAACTATCGATAATCGATCATGAGATCAGCTTAATTTTCTGTTATCAATTCGGATGAAGAACCTTGTCAGACTCTCAAGACGCTAAGCTTCCGAGACATACTCAAAATATGCAATCAAGCGTGGTTTTATAGGTACTCGCGATTATTCAAGTTTTCACCATAAAATGCAAAATTGGCACTTAGAATGCCGAACATAATCAAATATCCGTTTTTCAAGCCTTCACGAACCATGCAGAATGCCATTTTAAAATTTTTCAGTTCGCCAAAATACAAAATTCCCCAAGTGAGCTCGCTTGCCGAACCTTGTATCGACGGCTACGTCAAAAAAGCGTACCTTATTGCAATGTTTCAAAATCTCCGATTATACTTTTTTTCTTATTTTTGAAGAAAACCGTTTGAAACATCATTGAAATTTTTCGTGAATATATTTGAATAAGAGGAAAAAGTTAAAGAAAGTTTCGGGAGAGAATGTTAGTTTTTGAATGACTACCTAGTTTTTTTTTTTTTTTTTTTTTTTTTTTTAAACCAATAGAGGAGAAAAAAAACCATTGAGCAGGCACTTAGCGCTGCAATAGAGATACGCATTTTCGACAAAAGCCGTCGATAAGCTATGGGATATGTTGTGGGCATCCTTCAATACTTCCAAGTATATTACAAAGTCACTCCTGCGACTTTCGATTTATTGATGTTCGATGGTTATAATTAAAATTGAAAGGTAACCTCCTCGTAATGGCAGTAGAGTTTTACCGTGTTTTACGACTGACGAGTTCTAAATTGATTTATTCGATTCATCAGCGACAAACTCGACACTGAATTTTAATCATGTGTTTTGTCAACATTTGAGGTACGGAACATCCATGTATCGTTTATCGCAAGAGTGACTCATCTTTAGCCACCAAATCAGTTTATCAGACAGTGAATTTCTTCATTTCTTCCCTGTCATGTTTTCTTTGCCTTTTACTTTTCATCCATACTACCTCTTCATTCCTTCTTTCCCCGCTCGTCCGTAGCAAAATTTTAAACTGAGTAGGCTAATAGTAATTAGAAGATTTATGTTTTTATTTCTTCTTTGTTCTTTGAAACTTTGCCGATCGTCTTTTATTCTTTAACTACCTTCATAGAGAGAGTTTGGAACTCATCCCATTTAGATTTCGACCCTTACTTTAAAATGGCAGCGAATTTGTATGGGAAGGGGCTGTGACCAATCTTTGACGGTTTATCACTTGTTCCCAACCTTGCCATAATAGAGGTTTCATTTGAGAAGATTTTTTCGAACTTCGTACATAAAATTGGCTCCAACTCAGGGTGTCTACTAGTCCGAAATTTCCGGAAATGGTATTGATTTTAGCGGTTTTGATTTGAAGAGCGGTCCAGAAGCACTGAAAAAGTGCTGAAATTTCGCAGGAAGGTCCGAAATTTTTTTCATTTCTTGTCATTTTGGTCATAATATGAGCGAGAAATTCAAATTTGTGAAATTTTTCGAATTTCGTTGTTTGGGTCCTGAAAAAGTACTGAATTTTTCTGGTAAGTAGGTACGGAATTTCTTGGGATTGTACTGAAAGAGTACCGTAAAAGGACCGATTTTTGGCCAGCCTGTTTTAGTAGACACCCTGCATTGGTATCCATACTCTTTCTATGAAGTTTCTCTAATTCCAACTTCCTTGTCTTTCCGTTTCCGTTTTCACTCATTGGTAGCAACATCTTAAACAGACCCTATCAATGCTCGACTTGAAACCCGCGTTTCGATTTCAACTCTTCTTAATTCCAAGCGTCTTGGATTTTTTCCAGTGTGTTAATGCTAGTCGCCGAACAGTCTAAGTGCCTAATGTACAT